TTGCTATAGGGTATATGCACTCGCTAGAGAGACGGAAAGCGAGAAATCACACCTCAAGAGGGACGGCCATATTGCAGTCTCTTCTCCTCCATTCTCCTCTTCGGATTTTAGGCAAGCACACACATGTGCCTAGCATGAGTTTCAAGCCATCGGGTCTGGGACTCGAACCATGGCCTAGCATATGGGAATCCAGTGACGTAAACACCATGCCATTTGCTGGTCCCAAGAAGAGCCTTCTTTGTAGAGCGGCCCCTCACAGTGTCTGGCAAGCTCCCTGTAGCAGCAGTAGGAGGACTGCTACTGCACAGGGGATGGCGATCCGAGCTCTCCAGAGCTAAGTGCCAATTATAAGAAAAACACTTGCACATCCATGTTCACTGCAGCACTATTCACAATTGCTAAGACACAGAACCAACTCAAATGTCCATGAACAGATGAATGGATTGAAAAAGCGTGGAACATATACACCACAGAATACTATTCAGCTGTAAAAAATAGACCCTGGCTTTTGACAGAAAGTGGACAAATATAGCAGATTCAGGGCTAAGTCAAGAAACCAGACAATGAAAGAGAGGCATTTGTATGTCCCTACTCAGTATATACTGAATGCTGGCACGCTGGCAGAAACCAAAAGATTGGAAGGTATAAAAGCAGGAAGTGCAACAATGACACTGGAGACAGTAGGGGAGGGGTTGGGAAATGGGGGAGGGTGAGAGGGAGGGAATCAAGGGGACTAAGAAAGCAAAATATTTAAGAGAGACGAAAAGAGAGAAATCTGTTCATTATAGTGTATATGGTAATGTCTTTAACTGGAATGATAAGCAGAGTACTCATGATGGGAAAATTTATGTGGTATGCTGTAATGATACACAGTGATTAAATGTATAAAATAATAATAATAAAAAACAGAGTCAGAGAAAGTCGAACGGATAAAACAAACCTCTCGATCTCTAGTTGTCTGGTGAGATAAAGTCTTCCAAAGAATTAGTTTGGAGAAAGCTAGGCATCGGAGGTCACAGCAGAGACTTGGGCCACTCGATTGGGCTCTGGTGACCAGGGCTGGACACCCCTGCAGAGCCAGGCTGGAGAAACCACGGGCTGTGAGGGATCTGCCCTGCTCGTGGCCTCCACTTCCCGTCTCCTGCTCTCCCCAGGTCCTTTCTGAGTCCTTCATTGCTTTTACACTCTTGTTGTAGGCAGGCACCGGAAGTGAATCGAACACAGCGTCTGCTCTGGGAAGTGGAGCGCAGGGCAGCGGGCATGGTTAACTGTAGCCAGGGGGTCAGGAGCTGCTCTGAGGATGTGTGCTGGAGCTCACAAGTCCTGTAAAGTGTGGCACGCATCAACTCTGTTCCAGGTTCTCCTCTAGGTAGGGAACAAGAACTCATGTTCTTAGAAAGTTCTTGTTCTAAACGGGTGGGGTGATTAACAGGTATGTGACCAAGGAAAACAAGGCAATTTTACATAGAGATAAGTAATAGACAGACACTTGGAATAGAGAATTATAATTCTGTGACAGAATTAATGAAATTAAAATCAAGCTGTTTTCTCCAGAGACAACATGTAAGGTGAGACTTGCATGACAGTGAACAGCTATGCAAAGATAGAATGAGTGTCTGGGCAGAGCGGACAGGTGGTGCGAACGCCTACATTCAGCTTGAATTTAAGTTGTCTTCAAGTGTTTTCCTCCTGGTGCCCAGCCCTGTGACACATCCCAAAAAGACATGACGAATGCGTTGGATGAGACAGGAAGAATGTTGCAGCTGTAGGGCTTTAATCTCCTAACTTGGCCCTGCAATAAGTAAAACATAGATGGAGGTGTGAATAGTCAGAGCAACTGGTGTGGAGGTGTGTGCATGTGCAAGCCCATATGCATGTGTGTGTGTGTGTGTGTGTGCATGCCCACAAGCATGTGTGTGTGTGTGCTTGCTCATGCCCAAATGCATGTATGTCTGAGCTTGTGCATGGCCACATGCATGTGTATGCGTGTGTGTGCAAGTGTGTGTGTGTGTATGCATGTGCACGAGCATGTACTTTGTCAAATGTCTCTTGAGGAAACTCTCCGGGAAATCTGTGCTTCTAGCAGATCGGAGCTGCTGACTGGTAGCGGTGGACATGTGGGAGAAGGCGGAGTGGGGAGGCCTCCGGGGCACTACCTTGTAGGGCCTCCCATGCCATGCTGGAGAGCACCCCCATCGGCACTGGAGACATGCCCAGGACTTGTTTGTCAGCCTGAGGTGAAGGTCACTCCAGTCACCAGGGACATGGGCTGACATTGCTTCGGCATCTGCTGGAGAGTGTGCAGGACAGGCCGCTCTGTCCTCTGGGCTTTGCCCCTCCAGCTCCTCACCACGGCCCTGCGCTGAGGAAGCCGAGTAAGTCATGCCTTGAGGGAGGGGGAGGGCTGACCTCGTGGGAGGATCCTGGTGAGGTCCAGGCAGGGGCTTCAGTGGGCTCTGAGGAACACCTGGGCCCCTGTCTCTCTGATGTGGGGCACCCATGTCCTCTCTGGACTCTCAATCATCGGCAAACTGAAGGAGGTGTCTCATAGGAGGACTAGAGTGAGGCGAGTGTGCCAACCGTGCGTGCAAGCCATGACTCTGGCCTCCAGCGCCATTAAAGGATGTTAAAAAAAAAAAAAAAGACAAAAAAGAGAAAGAAAAGATGGAGAGAACGTGTGGTCTTGCACACTGGAGACAGTAGGGGAGGGGTTGGGAAATGGGGGAGGGTGAGAGGGAGGGAATCAAGGGGACTAAGAAAGCAAAATATTTAAGAGAGACGAAAAGAGAGAAATCTGTTCATTATAGTGTATATGGTAATGTCTTTAACTGGAATGATAAGCAGAGTACTCATGATGGGAAAATTTATGTGGTATGCTGTAATGATACACAGTGATTAAATGTATAAAATAATAATAATAAAAAACAGAGTCAGAGAAAGTCGAACGGATAAAACAAACCTCTCGATCTCTAGTTGTCTGGTGAGATAAAGTCTTCCAAAGAATTAGTTTGGAGAAAGCTAGGCATCGGAGGTCACAGCAGAGACTTGGGCCACTCGATTGGGCTCTGGTGACCAGGGCTGGACACCCCTGCAGAGCCAGGCTGGAGAAACCACGGGCTGTGAGGGATCTGCCCTGCTCGTGGCCTCCACTTCCCGTCTCCTGCTCTCCCCAGGTCCTTTCTGAGTCCTTCATTGCTTTTACACTCTTGTTGTAGGCAGGCACCGGAAGTGAATCGAACACAGCGTCTGCTCTGGGAAGTGGAGCGCAGGGCAGCGGGCATGGTTAACTGTAGCCAGGGGGTCAGGAGCTGCTCTGAGGATGTGTGCTGGAGCTCACAAGTCCTGTAAAGTGTGGCACGCATCAACTCTGTTCCAGGTTCTCCTCTAGGTAGGGAACAAGAACTCATGTTCTTAGAAAGTTCTTGTTCTAAACGGGTGGGGTGATTAACAGGTATGTGACCAAGGAAAACAAGGCAATTTTACATAGAGATAAGTAATAGACAGACACTTGGAATAGAGAATTATAATTCTGTGACAGAATTAATGAAATTAAAATCAAGCTGTTTTCTCCAGAGACAACATGTAAGGTGAGACTTGCATGACAGTGAACAGCTATGCAAAGATAGAATGAGTGTCTGGGCAGAGCGGACAGGTGGTGCGAACGCCTACATTCAGCTTGAATTTAAGTTGTCTTCAAGTGTTTTCCTCCTGGTGCCCAGCCCTGTGACACATCCCAAAAAGACATGACGAATGCGTTGGATGAGACAGGAAGAATGTTGCAGCTGTAGGGCTTTAATCTCCTAACTTGGCCCTGCAATAAGTAAAACATAGATGGAGGTGTGAATAGTCAGAGCAACTGGTGTGGAGGTGTGTGCATGTGCAAGCCCATATGCATGTGTGTGTGTGTGTGTGTGTGCATGCCCACATGCATGTGTGTGTGTGTGCTTGCTCATGCCCAAATGCATGTATGTCTGAGCTTGTGCATGGCCACATGCATGTGTATGCGTGTGTGTGCAAGTGTGTGTGTGTGTATGCATGTGCACGAGCATGTACTTTGTCAAATGTCTCTTGAGGAAACTCTCCGGGAAATCTGTGCTTCTAGCAGATCGGAGCTGCTGACTGGTAGCGGTGGACATGTGGGAGAAGGCGGAGTGGGGAGGCCTCCGGGGCACTACCTTGTAGGGCCTCCCATGCCATGCTGGAGAGCACCCCCATCGGCACTGGAGACATGCCCAGGACTTGTTTGTCAGCCTGAGGTGAAGGTCACTCCAGTCACCAGGGACATGGGCTGACATTGCTTCGGCATCTGCTGGAGAGTGTGCAGGACAGGCCGCTCTGTCCTCTGGGCTTTGCCCCTCCAGCTCCTCACCACGGCCCTGCGCTGAGGAAGCCGAGTAAGTCATGCCTTGAGGGAGGGGGAGGGCTGACCTCGTGGGAGGATCCTGGTGAGGTCCAGGCAGGGGCTTCAGTGGGCTCTGAGGAACACCTGGGCCCCTGTCTCTCTGATGTGGGGCACCCATGTCCTCTCTGGACTCTCAATCATCGGCAAACTGAAGGAGGTGTCTCATAGGAGGACTAGAGTGAGGCGAGTGTGCCAACCGTGCGTGCAAGCCATGACTCTGGCCTCCAGCGCCATTAAAGGATGTTAAAAAAAAAAAAAAAGACAAAAAAGAGAAAGAAAAGATGGAGAGAACGTGTGGTCTTGCAAGTCCCCCTCTGACAGTGCATTTCTCCGTGTGTCCTGGAGGAGGGAGGGTTAGGGAGCCACAGGGCTGCTGAGAACAGTCTCTGCACGAGGGCCAGGGTAGAGCACACGGACCATCCCCGGGAGCTGGACTGTGAGGCTTCCCTCACTGCAGAGGGGCCAGCCTGAGCAGAGGCTGGATGGGGACCTGGCAGCAGGGTGGGGCATAGAGCATGACGTCGTCTGGGCAGCGTGCGGAGGGCCCCACCAGGAGGCAAGCGGAGAGCTGGGAACCTGGGTTCTATCTGCATAAATGGCCTCTCAAAGGAAAATCTCAAACAAAGGGAACTCTCCCCAGGACAGCATCAATGACCACAGAAGCTTCCGTTGTAAAGGTCAGAGTCCTGCCTCAGGGCACTCTGCACTGAGCCCAGTGAGGGCTGTCACCAAACAGGCTTTATAAGGAGGGGTGAGCTGAGGGAACAGGCTATATAAGGAGGGGTGAGCTTGGGGAGCAGGCTATCTGAGGAGGGGTGAGCTGGGGGAGCAGGCTATATAAGGAGGGGTGAGCTGGGGGAGCAGGCGGCTCTCAGAATGGGGGCCCTGGGACCAGCAGTTAGTGTAATGGCTGTCACTGGACTCCCAGGTAGTCAACCCCGGTTCGAATCCTGGACCTGGTGGCTTAGACTCATGCCGGGCTTGTGTGCGTGCATGCCCAAGATCCCGAGAAGAGAATGGAGGAGAAGGGATTGCGGTGTGGCTATCCCCCCCTGGGGGGTGATTTCTTGCTTTCTGTCTCTCTGTCTCTCTTGGTTTCTCTGTCTCTCTGCCTCTCTCTGCCTCTCTCTGTCTCTCTCTGTCTCTCTCTGTCTTTCTGGTGAGCACATGCTCTCTGTAACAGAAACCTCCTCTCCAGAAAAAGAAAAAAAAAAAAGAAAAAGAAAAAGAAAGAAAGAATGGGGGCCCAGAGGGTAAGACAGGGATTTTCATATGAAACAGAAGGACAGAAGGACGGGAGCCCTAAGTTAGGCCCAGCCACGACGGGCCTCGTGGGTGCTCAGACCGCTGCTAGTTCAGGGCTAGCTCAGGCTCACAGGGGAGGGCAGATGGGGAGGAAGGGGCCAAGACCCAGCAGAGCCGCACACAGGCAGAGGCAGGGCCAGTTTATCATCCCATACTGGGCCCTGCAGCTCTTCAGGTGTGGGGTGCCTGTGTGCTCATGGGGGCTCTGGGACCCCAGGGAGAACGACTGGCACATCTGCCTTTGTGCTTGCACCGGCCTGACCCTGGTGTCTTCGCTTGTCTGTCCTCCCAGTAGCCTGGGAGTGACTCAGAGCCAAGAGCTCAGGAGCTCCCCGTGTCCGCTGTCCACACACAGGGCCAGCACGACATGGATGGCAGCAAATGTCGACTTTCGAGCTGAGTAGAATGACTGTCCCGACTTTCTCACCCCGAGGAAGGAGCCATGCTCCTGTTTCTGTCGCTCCCGGTCCTGCTCCTCTGTGTGGGGGCAGTGTCCTGCTCAGAAAACGCCTGTGAGTGTGCCCAGAAGGCCTGCTCAGTGGTCACCTGCGGCATCCCCGTCACCAACGGCACCCCAGGCAGAGACGGGCGAGATGGACCCAAGGGAGAGAAGGGAGAGCCAGGTATGGCAGGCCACTTTCTTCCTGCCCTGCTCTGTGAGGGACAGGCACGGGAAGGCCACCCTCCACGTTGGTGCTGCTCCCTGGAGCTCGCCCTGTGGGACATGGCTGCCTCCCAGCAAGGGTGGGTGGCTGGCTCTTGCTCCCTACACCCCACACGGGAACTGGGGGTGTGCACTGTCTGCAGAGAAGGGGGGTCCTGACCCTCAGGACACGGCTTTTCCAGGGATGCAGGGACAGCTTCCTTTGGGTCACTGCGGGCTCTCTGGCCGTTCCCTGGGGTCTACGTGAGGTGAGATTTGAACTTTCGGAGAAAAAGACTGAGCACCACGTCGCACCTGATATGTTCTTCATGTTCCAACAGGCCAGGGGCTCAGAGGCTTGCAAGGCCCCCCAGGGAAGCAGGGGCCTCCAGGAAACACAGGGCTTCCTGGGATTCCAGGACCACGGGGCCAAAAAGGCGACCATGGAGACAGCTCAGGTAAGGACTCAGTCCAGTGTGGTCTCCCAGGGCCGGAGGGAGGCGTCCATCTCCCGGGGCAAGCAACTCAGCCACGTGGCCAGCAGACCTCCAACCTGGCCGGGCCACGTCATC